CGACTGAGCCACCCAGGCGCCCTTGAGATCAGATTTTAACTGGCCATAGAGCCGTGGAGGGTGCCAGAATATGGAGCAACCTAAGCATGTTTGCTTTATTTTGCCTTTGCCAGGAATCAGCTGTGGATTTCCTTTGTATGCAGAGCTCCTGACCTGATACTATTAGGAGCATGATGAAAATAAAAAGCAAGGTGCCCACAGCCTTCAGGCAATGTAGTATCTCTCAATTCCCACCTAAGACTTAACCAAGTCAAAAATACTGTCCAAATATCCTGTCCAAAGTGGTCCAACTGTGCAAAGTTGATGCCAGTCTTAAAGGTTTGGAGAGACAGACCAGCACGGCCCCAGGCGAGGGTGGGCCAGCCGAGGGCTGCTCCTGCCGGCCAGGAGGAGTGAGTCCATCCTCCAAATAGCCGCGGAGAGCGATGGAGGCAGAGAAGTGAAATCCTTCAAGGTATCCGAATTCGAGTCTCCTTCCCTGCGTTCTCTCCCTAAATATAGCCTCTCCTCTCTGGTGGACAAAGCCAGTGGCTCTCCTGGAGGTGACCCCTTACAGGTGGCAGAAATAAAATGAGCGACGTTCTTCCCCCACCTGGGCCCAGAGGAGAGGGCGTGAGCGTGATGCCTGAGTGAAAACACAGAAGATCCAAGAAGCACCCGCAGTGGGGTGTGCTGAACTCACAGTCACACCTGAGCGAGGCCAAGGGGGAAAAGTTGGGCTCACCCCCACGAGCAGGCCTCCAGGGCTCCAGGAGGTAAGAGAGAGAACAGCCACGGACATTGTGCGAGGAGTGCTTTCGTGGGCTTTGACAGTAGCTGCTTCGACAACGGACGCGAGAAGAGAGATCTCCTCTGTCTCTAAACCTCAATTCACAGGACAGAGACCGTGTGCTTCTGGATTTGCCTCCTGCCCATTTGACTCCATGGGACCCAACATGCGTCTCGTCCTCTGGCTGTAATACTGTTACCATACTGATGGGCCCGTTTCTATACCTTGGCTTCTTCTAAAATTAAGGCTTTTTGACCTAAAAACGTCTTCAGTCACAAATGCAGGGGGTGGAGGGTGGTCTGCCTCCTATGCGTCGTATCTGGTGGGTAGCGCACGGCTAACACCCTACAGAGCACAGGACGGGAGGACTGCACAGCAAAGCAGGATCTGCCTGAAATGTCAACAGTGCCGGGGTTGAGAAACCCTGATCGAAAAGCCAGACCATCCTGCCATGCGCTACGCTAAGTAAGGGAATAAAATATTTTTAAGTCCATGTGGGCAACTTCATGCCAAAGTCCTGGTCCAGTCGATAATCCAAGGTCAGCATTAATCCGCAGCCTTAAATGTCCCCTGCAAACCTGATCGTCACAGCAAGCACATGAAAACGTCCTTTCTCCTCGCGATGAACGGTAAAGGCGTCCACAGGCAGCTCCTTGGCCGTGAGACCACCATCCACCGCACGGCTGTGGTTTGCCCTTGAAGTGCTCTGCCCCTCTTACTGGGTTACATCATTACTCGATTTACTAGAGATGAAGACTATGAAATTGACCAGGGAAAGAGGAAACTAACCAGCCCTCGATAATAACATTTACTGGCCGCTCTTGGCGGCAAGGTATCGTAGTGACTGAGGTCTGAGCAGAAAGCAGTGACCCTGTCACACAGAGACTGGAAGTCATTTAAAATCAAAAATGACATTCTAATCCTCTGAATCTGATTTTTGAAGCTGCATTGTATTGCCTTTTTTTCCCTAGAGCAATGCATGCAGTATCAAATTTTATGACAGCAACGGGGTCAATGTAAATGGGGTAGCAAGCGGAGTTGCCATGTCACTCAGAGAAATGGATCGCAGCAGTGCCGAATCAATTTTCTAGTACAAGTCTGCGCACAGGGGTGGTAAAAGTCACCATTCAAAACTGAAATACGGCTCTAGGAAGTCGGGTTTTTAAGTGGATTTTCTGAGAATGCGCAGTTGCTATAGTTACCATCTTTGCAGAGAAAAAGATAAGAGGAACATTTATGAGGCCTCCAAACTAATTCATGTGCTTTGCAGCCTACATGAAACCTGCCTGGCTTGTACGCATTCGTCTGTCCTGATGGCCAGATTTTTAAATTATATGCATCTTTGACTGAGCATTATCTTAAGAACAAACGAATGGGCTTTGGAAGAGTAAAGAAACAAATTTATGACCCCTTGAAGAATGTTTGGTCAGAAAAGCCAAGAGATTTAGCTCCTAGGACAGCATATGAAATGAAAATAAACAATAAAAAAAAGGAAACGATTCTCCAACTCAACAAAAAGATCCCTGTAATAAAACAAAATCTGTTACACTCATCCTGGGAACTATTCTGGGCAAAATATCTACCTCTACTTAACTTTCTCATGAGATAACAAATCCTTAGGGACAAGGGTTCATCTAACTCTAATAAAAACTTTCTGCCCTGAGGTGTTAAAAAAGTTTGCAGTCAATGATCAGGAATTTGGAAACTGTCTATCCTGCTTCCATCTGCTTAAACAAACCAAAAAGGAAAAGGAAAAAGAAAGAAACAAGAAAAAAAACAGCAGATGAGCCAAAGGATTGGGAAGGGAGCGGGAGGGAAGTAGCATGTCCCTTCTTCTCCCTTCCCACTTCTCCCTTACCTATATAGAGCTGACCCTTGAACAATGTGGGGGGCCAGGGGGCCAACCTCACCATGCAGTGGAAAATCTGCATATAACTTTCAACTCTCCAAAAACTTAACTCTAACAGCCTAGTGTTGACCGGAAGCCTTACCAATAACATAAACAGTCAATTAACACATATTTTGTATATTACACATATTATATACTCTGTCCTTACAATAAAGTAAGCTGCAGAAAAGGAAACTATTACCAAGAAAATCATAAGGAACAGAGAACACATTTACAATACTATACTGTAGTTAGCCAAAGAATTCCACACAAGTGGACCCACGCAGTTCAAAGCCTTGTTATTCAAAGGTCAACTGTATTAATGCGCCATAAATCGAAATCGCTTCAAAATTCTATCTGAAATTTTTCTCAGCATTTAGATTTTAAGAGTGACAAAAATCATAAAAGAACTGAGGATTTGAGAAGTTTTCAACACTCACCACCCCAGCAGTTGGTGAGCATTCATGCAATCCCTGTTATCAACCACAATGTTGTAATGTGAGGGTTATGAACCCTGAAAATCACCAGCCCAAGGCACTCGACTCCCTACACAAACTAAAAGGTTCGATTATACTGACCACAGTGTGCTCTGAGACAAGAGAGTAGACTAATGTATTTTGGAAAGATGATTACCAGCATAGAGCAAAACAAGAAAGAATTTTCTGACTCATCTTCGGTCAACCAGCAGTCTTTAATCAGCATGACACCTTCTGCTTCGTTCCTCCATTCCGAGTGTTTTGGTGAAATGCGATATTCATGCGACAGGAAAGCCCTCACCTAAACCTACTCAGCATCCGCAAAAAAGTCCCAGCCAAGGATCAGAAGTACCCCACGGAGCTCAGACTCTTGACCCTTTTGGTGCTCAGCCTTAAAGGGCATACTCTCTGAGAGATCCCCAAAGATCCCTACACGGATACCAGCTCCATACCTGGCAAAGAACAGCTTCTCCTCCACGAGTTCCAAAAGGCACCTGCACTATCAGCCTGTCCTTGTCCTCATTCTCCAGGTGACCCTGCAGCTTGCCCAGGCTGCGGCGCTCCCCGGGGCTTTCCTCATAAACATAGCCACTGCTCAGGACGCTGAGCTTCACCTGGGTCTGGTCAGCCTTGGAGAAAACCAAGCTCTGGACTGTTTCCTCGAGCACACTCTTGCTCGTCACCTGGAAGCCAGCAAATGTGAAGGACGAACACAGGCCTAACACTTTCCCTCCCTGAGAAAGGTAGGCCATGAACTTCTGGGAAAGGTCTTCAGGAATGGTCTCCTGGGTGGCAACGACCAACAACAGACAGTTGTCTGACCACGGGTCTCTGAGAGCACTTTCCCTTGACAGGTGGTAGAGTGTATAGCGGTCGGTGTCCACACAGTCCGCCAGAACGGACCGGACCTCCTGGAACCTGCCCAGGGATTTCTGGGGGGCAGAGCCCACGTAGAAGAGGATGTTGGGGGCCTTTCCCGTGACGTTGACTCTCCTCCATTCTCCTTCCAAGCGGATATCATCAGCAACATCCTCCGAACTGCCACTGTGATCATAGGGAAGATCTGGAATGTTCTCTGCAGATGCAAACTTGACAGATTCAATGGTACTGTTCTCCAGCTCCAGACACTCATGGCAACTAGACAGATGGAGGGGACAGTGCTCGACAGAGCCTACTCCTCTGTCACCCTCCCCGGCAGGCTTGCTGCCAGAGGCACTCCCTGTCCCCAGTGTGCGTTGTGGACCAAGAACCTTGGGATCATCTCTACCAATGCACTCCATAGCGTCCGGCTCAGGCTTACTCTCAGCAGAAGGTTCAGGATTCTGTCGTAGGGTCTGGGCTTGCTTGTCTGAGGCCTGATCCTCAAGTGCCTTCAGAGTACAGTCCTGCAAGTGCACTGCTAAAATACGAACAGAAAAGACAATCATCAGCCCTTCTGGTCTGTCACGCGGCTCAGTTCAAAACCTCATGGCGCTCTCCGCACTCCGCCCGCCGGCTCCCACCTGCATCCCTACCGCAAGTCTTCGGCATCTGCTGGAACCGGGCACTGCTCCCACCTGCTGGGAGGGTGCGCCCGACCTTCCCGACAGTGAAATCCCAAATCCCACATTTCCACAACACCTCTGCCTTGTGAATCGGGAAGCCCCAGATCCCCTTATTGGCTGGTGAACAAAGTGGGATTCAGAGAGGTAAATTCTGTGCCCACTTACTTACAGAATCGATTTCTTGGGTGTCAGTCTCCTATAAGAAAATGAAACTGAGGGCGCCTGGGTGGCTCAGTTGGTTAGGCGACTGCCTTCGGCTCAGGTCATGATCCTGGAGTCCCTGGATCGAGTCCCGCATCGGGCTCCCT